TTCGCTGTGAGTGTGCTTGTCTCTTTGACTTCATTCATTCATCCACTTGAAAAACCAATGCCTGTTGTGGGCCAGGCCTCTGCTGCAAACACTGAGGTCCTCAGACTTAGCTGCTGTCTTGAGTCTGATCTGGTAGGGGAAGGAACTGAGGTGTTTCCTTCCCAGAGATCCCCACAAGGGTCACGTGTAAATTAGAGAAATGTATCCCTCGTGGGTTATCAGCCAAGCCTTAATGCTCCTGGCTCATTAGTGGAACAGTGTAGGCTGATTTCAGTGAGCTCCCTTCCTGCTGAGAGGCTGGGCACCCTTGTACAGTGCACAACCTGCACACCTGAATGTGGCAGCCTCGGGGTTGAAGCAAGGAAGGCTTCTCAGAGGAGGCAGCTTGTGAGCTGGTTCTTGAAGAATAAGTGGGAGCTGCCAGGTAGAGACAGGGCAAGGGGAACGCACTGCAGGCTGAGGGAACAGCAGGAGCAAATGTGGAGAGGGAGGAAAGGCCCTGGTACCCTCAGGGGACCAGATGAACCAGAGTGTAGATGGTGCAGTTGTCACCTTCTCAGGCTCCCTTCTGCCTCCTTCCTGCAGTGGGGGTCTCTGCCCTCACCTAATCCTCCCTCTTTCCCTACCCCCAGCTCAGCCAGACCCCTGGGCCCGACTGCCCCATCTTCCTGCCCAGCGATTCTGAGTGGGACTGGCTGCTGGCCAAGACGTGGGTGCGCTATGCTGAGTTCTACAGCCACGAGGGCATCTCCCACCTGCTGGAGGCCCACCTCATTGGCGAGGCCTTCTGCCTGGCCATGCTGAGGCACCTACCCATGTGCCACCCCCTCTACAAGGTACGGGCTTGGGGGAAGAGGCCTCCACGAGGCATCACCTGGCCTCGCAAAGCCTCTTGGGGCTCTGAGAGGTCAGAGGGTTCCACTCGGCCCTGGGAGGCACCTGAGGACCCACAAGAGGGGGTTTGGGGTGGAGACTTCCCAAAGTGAGGGGCTCTGCTGTTGCACAGTGGAGTGCTGAGGTCCTGGGGGACAATGTCAGCCCTCTGTCCTTGTCCTCCTTGCTTTCCCTGCAGCTCCTCATCCCCCACACCCGGTACACAGTCCAGATCAACAGCATCGGGCGGGCCCTCCTCCTCAACGAGGGGGGCCTCTCCGCCAGGGTAAGACTTCTGCCCCCAACCTCAACGAGACATTTGCTTTCTTCTGGCCCTTGCAGTTAGACTAAAAGCAGGACTTCCCAGTTGCCTTTGGATCCTGAGAGGAGATGATCCCAAGGGAGGGAGGGGCCTGGTTAACGTGGGTGCTGTGTCTAAAAGGGCACAGAGGCAGGGGCGGGTGTTCTGGCCTGGAGTGTGAGGGTGCCTGGGGGGCTGGGGCTGGGCTGAGAGGCGCACTCACTAGACCCCCGGAGGACCTGAGGGGTGTGGTCCCCAGCGAGGAGGACTTGCAGAGATGCCCAGCCGACTCCGAGGTCTGCCTCCTCCCAACAGGGCATGTCCCTGGGCCTGGAGGGCTTTGCCCAGGTGATGGTGCGGGCTCTGTCCGAGCTCACCTATGACAGCCTCTACATCCCCAATGACTTCGTGGAGCGTGGCGTCCAGGACCTGCCCGGATACTATTACCGCGATGACTGCTTGGCAGTGTGGGACGCGCTGGAGAGGTGACGCTGGATGGCAGTGGGTGGCACTCAGGGTGGACACCTGGGGATGATGGAGGGGCTACGGGGAGCTTTTCAACACCTGAGTGTGGGCCTGGTCATGGGGAAAGCGGGGCCTGGGGTCTGCACGCCCATCACACACCTGCTCCCTAGGCCCGACGGGCCCTTCCTTGCTTCTGCTCCCAGCCCAGCCCACCAGCCAGACCTCTTCTGGGCTCCGAGCGGCCTGTGGACCTTACCCGGGCCTTATCAGGAGCTCTCTGCGTGTCTTCTGATCTTGTCAAGCCACCCTCTCACTCTGCCCTACAGGACTTGCCCACCCACAGGCCTGGGGCAGCTCTGGGACCAGCCAAGGCCAGAGCATGCTGGGGGAGGTAGGAGAGGCGTGGCTGAAGAGGGGGAGGGGAGGATCCAAACTGAGGCCCTGTCCCCCGGTCAGGTATGTGACAGAGATCATCACCTATTATTACCCGAATGACGCAGCCGTGGAGGGTGACCCGGAATTGCAGTCCTGGGTGCAGGAGATATTCAAGGAGTGCCTGCTAGGGCGAGAGAGCTCAGGTATGGGCCAGGGCACCTGGCACCCTTCAGGGACTGGGGGCTGGGGGCAGCCCTCAGGCAGGTCCACTAGGGCTCTTCTGGGCTGGATCAGAACAGATTTCACTGGGGGCTGGCGGGGGCCAAGTCACTGCTCTAGGATTTTGACAGGGCTCTTCCCTGGCCCTGGAGCAGGGAGAAGTTGGGGAAGAAAACATGGCTGGCCCTTGGTCCCTGTCTGAGCACAGGGGCTGTGGGTCATCTCTGCAGAGACCTGGAGGGGTCCCAGCTCCCCACCCCCGAGACAAATCTTTGGTGGACTGAGAATGGGACGTGAGCTCCAACATGAAAGGCCACAGTGTGCTGGAGGCTAGGCAGCTAGGGGCAGCTGGCAGGCTCCAGGGAAGGGCTGGGAGCACCCTGAGGTCATGCCACTTGGGCACATCATACTCAATGAACATGTAGTGAGCATCTACAATGTGACATCGTGCTGGTTATTAAGGAAGCAAAAGGGAACAAGACAGGTGAAGGTGCCCACCCTCAAGGTGGGTGCCCAGCCCCAACTTGACTCAACTCGAGTCCCTGCTCCAACTGAAATCCTGGGCCCAGCCTCTCAGCCTCATCCCCAACTCAGACCCTACCCCACAGTCTGGAGTGGAGGGCGTGTCCCTCAAGCCCATAGGCGGTTCCACTAGAGCAGGACTTGTGCGGTTGGTTGGCGGGGAAGCCTGGGAAGGGGCTCTGGGAGCCCGGGGTTAGCCCAGCATGGGGAGGGCTGGAGATGGGGGGGGGGACTGGCTCAGCAAGCTGACATCTAACTTCTTGGCTAACCTCTGTCTAGCTAAGGGCTGCAGGATGGGGAGGTCACCTGTGAGTTGACAGAGGGTGGGGTTGGAGAGTTCTGAATGGGAGCAGCTTGTGGAAAAGCCTAGAAACCAGAGAGAACATAGTGAGTTCTGGGATCTGCTTACCGGAATCATGTTCCCTGCACAACTGGAGCTTAGGGCGGGAGGTGGGCAGGCTCCCAGAGGACCAAGGCTGGGGTCCAGCAGGGGCCAGGGGCACAATCTGGTTAAGGAGTTTGGAGTTACCCCAAGTGCCAGGGGGCACCACTGAGGGGGTTGCAAGGGTTCTTCCAAACAGAGGGAAGCCCCTGCTACCCTCCACCCTAGACCTGGGACCAGTGAGGACCCCCTACCTCCAGGGGAGCTAGAAGACAGATCTGAGGGGCCATCTCAGGCAAGGGCCGGAGACATCCCTGGAGGACTCTGGCCAGGGCCTGCCAAGCCTTCCTGCCCCCAGCCTTGTGGTCTGGGCTTGTGGCCACAGGAGGGCCAAGCAGGCAGGATTTGGGGATGGATGCAGCAGCTTGACCGTGGCAAGTCAGGGAGAGCTGGGCTTAGTGGGGCCTTCTGCCAGGCATCCAGGACAAGGGCAGGACTGACACAGTGTCCTGGGCCTTCCTCCTGCCCCTTAGGCTTCCCCACGTGCCTGCGGACGGTGCCTGAGCTGATCCGATACGTCACCATAGTCATCTATACCTGCTCTGCCAGGCACGCAGCTGTCAACACAGGCCAGGTATACGTGCTCACTAGCCCCAGCCTCAGCCCCAGGTCCAGACCTGCCAAACTCAGTCCCAACCCAACCTCAAACCCAGTCTCAGCCATAATGCCTAGGCCAGCCCCAACTTGACTCAACTCGAGTCCCTGCTCCAACTGAAATCCTGGGCCCAGCCTCTCAGCCTCAGCCCCAACTCGGACCCTGGCCCAGCTTCAGCCCCAACCTCAGCCCCAGCCCCGCCTTCATCTCAAGGCAGCCCCAAACCCAACGCCAGCCCAACCCGCCCAGCCCAGCCCCTGCCCACCGCCAGGAGTCCAGGTCCGTGCTGGGACAGCGGGTGGTAAGGGCCTGGTGGAACGGCGCTCCTGGGGTGCTCTCTGACCCAGAACCCCTCCTCTACCCCACCTCCAGCTGGAGTACACCTCCTGGATGCCCAACTTCCCATCATCCATGCGAAACCCGCCGATGCAGGCTAAAGGGCTGACCACCTTGGAGACCTTCATGGACACGTTGCCAGATGTAAAGACCACGTGCATCGTGCTGCTGGTGCTCTGGACACTCAGCCGAGAGCCTGATGACAAGGTGCGGGGTGGAGGTGGCACCCTGAGCCTAGGCAGGGGGCTGGGAACGGGGCAGGGGCAGGGACAGGGGTAGTTGGGGTGCCAAGGGCGGGCGCAGGAAGTGAGAGGCTACTTAGGAAGCGGAAGGCCAGAGGGGCCAGGGCCTCTGGCAGGAGGGGCGGGGTGTGGGCCCGGCTCCTCCCAGCTTCTCGGTTCTGTGCCCTCAGCGGCCCCTGGGCCACTTCCCGGACATCCACTTCGTGGAGGAGGCCCCGCGGCGCAGCATGGAGGCCTTCCGCCAGCGCCTGGCGCAGATCTCGCACAACATCCGCCAGCGCAACAAGTGCCTCCCGGTGCCCTACTACTACCTGGACCCCGTGCTGATCGAGAACAGCATTTCTATCTAGGACAGCCCTTCCCTCCTCGCCTCTCCCGCCCTGCTCTTTTCCAAAAAACTCTTCAAACATTTTCCCTGGGTCTTTTATTGGGGGCGGGCAGCCAGGCTGGTGCCTCCGGGTGCGGGCCGGGACTGGGGTCTCCGGGTGCTCACATGGTGACAGTGATGCTGTCATCCACGACCCACCACAGGGTTCAGGTAGGCGTAGGGCAGTGCCAGGCCCTGGTTACACTCCAGATGCCCCTCAAGATCTGGGCTAGGCTGCTCTGAAAGGCTGCAAGGACTCCTCTGTGAGGTGCTCCTCTGGGTAGGTGCCCAAGGGCCTTTGGGGACAGCAGGAGAAAAGGCTGGGACCTCAGCTTCATCTTTCAACTCATGGCGATTCTGGTCCATCTTAAGTCCCCCTACCTGGGGACTTAGTCCACCCAAGCTCCAGCCATGTAGGGGACCCAGACCTGTCCAACTTGAAACATAAGCCACCCACCTGCCTAGGCAAAAGCCCAGTGGCCTCTGAGAAGCCTATACTGCCCCAAGCCACACTCACTTGAAACCCTGAGCTCCACCTACTAGGAATCCATACCACCCTAAACCACACACCAGCTACTCGGTCACTCCACACCCTGCCCACCTGGGAGTTCAGCCTGCCAACTGTACCCTCCAAGTAACCCATTGTAACCCTACCCACTCCCCTGGAACCTGAAACCACACCCATCCCCACCCTAGGCCTTGCTTATAGTGTCTTTGGTTTCATTGTTGATGCCCCAGAAGAGCACGGGGCTGTTGACCTCAGGTAGTGAGGCCACCAGGTCTGTCTGGCCGTTGGTGGTGGTGGGGGAACTTCATGGTGGTGGAATATTGGGCATCCAGGCACTGAATTCAAACTGACCCCGTAAACTCAGTAAGTATGGAGCTCTAGTGCCACTGCTAGATCCACTGCTCCCATGACCCAGCTTGTCCCCCCAGGTCTGGCACTGGCTTACCTTGCCGTTGTTAATGGCAGCATGTTGGGCTGAGCAGGTGAAGATGATCATGGTGAGATACTGAGTGAGGCCAGCACAGCTGTGCAGGGTGGAGGAGACCCCTAGATGGGAGTGGGGTGGGGAGAACTGAGCTGAGACCCAAGGAGCTGCGCTGAGCTGCCCTGGGGAAGTGGGGTCTGGAAGGCAGGAGACAGGGTTGGACACCTCATCTGAGCTCATGTGGCTTAGAAAACCCTCCTGGACGATCTCCCCGACCCAGGCCTGGAGCTCTGAGTCCCTGTTCAGTGCCACATTGTCCAGGTAGCAGATATCACCAATATTGGTCACAAAGCTGGGGATCCAGGAATTTATGGTGATTAATGGTTGGGGGAGCCAACACTGACCTGGGGTGTGGGGTGGAAGAGGCCACTGAGACCAGATGCCCACAAAGCAGGGACCAGGCCAAGGAAGGGAGGCAGCCAGGCACACAGAGCTCGGCTGCAGAACTGAGTTTCACCCTGGAGGCTGCCGTCTTCACCGGGTGGTGCAAACCAAGGGCCTGAAGGCCAAAGTTGGTCTGATTGCCTGGCAAAGTTTTTTTTTTTTTTTTTCTAGTTGACTCACTTGCTGACATTTAAATATTAGAAGATGTCTAGTTTCTCTTGAAAAATCTGAAGATCTGGCCACAGTGATAACTGGGTCACCATTGTCCCCATCAGACAAATGAGTTCTCCACTGCCCACAGTCCCTGCCCACCCTTCTTCCCTCGCTTTTTTCTACTTGCTGGTCCTGCAGGCATTTGAGTTCCAGCCTTTTGAGCTACATCAAGCCACAGGGAAGGATTAGATATGTGGTGTGGCCCCTCTGTGTTGGGACTCTGATTGGGCCCATCTCCTGGACGGGCTCCCGAAGGGCCGTCTGTCCCCAGCCACACTAAGGCTCAGGAAGGGTGTGTGGATCACTGCTGAGAAGGTTTGGGCGAAGGAAGCTCCTGCTGTGGGTGTTCACATAGGGGGGTCCCTGAGGACTTCAAGGGAGAGGTGGGACATGAGCTGGGCTTGGAACAGGGGTGCTGTTTGGGTAGGGAGGGAGGCATCCCTCGACCCAGTGCATGCTGAGGAGGACGAATGGAGGGGGCAGATCCAGAGGGGCTGGGACGCCGCAGTGAACTCGTCATGGCATGTGGCAAGAACCTGGGAGCCATGGGAGGCTCACAGCAGCAGCACTGTCCTACATCCCAGTGCTTGAGTGAGGTCATTTTGCAGGTTAGTGGCAGGAGATGGGAACCTGCAGGAGGCCGAATGTCAAGAGCATCTGGCCACCTAGGCGGAGGCCAGAAGTATGTCCCCAGGAGCTCTCCTAGGAGGAGGATTCAGGAGGAAAAATGTGGAGATACAGTGACTTAATCCATGGGGTGAATAATAGTAATCCTTGGGGGGGGGGAATAATAATATTAATAGCTAATCTTCGCAGAGCACTTTCTATTCCCTGAGGTTTGCTCTCAGGGTTTTATATTTAATACTAATGACCTATAAGATAGCTGCTCTTATTGCCCCTATCATCCGATAAAGAAATGGGCACAGAGATTAAATGACTCGCCCAGGGCCACACAGCTGGGAAGGAAGAAGGGAAAGCAGGAAGGGCCGTGTGTTTGGACAGGAGATGGGTGGAAGTTAAATAAACCAACAGAGAGGTTCAGAGCCCTCAGGCCCAGGACAATGTCACCTCTCTGGCTGCCCAGATCTGAAGCGCAGCATCTCAGCAGGAGCAGTGGGCAAGGTCCTGGGCCCCGAGGTCAGCCAGCAGGCAGAGGGAGCAGTAGGTGACAGCTGCCAGCCCTTTGGCGGTCAGCTCCAGGCAGCCCACCTGTCCCAACCACATTGACAGTGATGAGCAGAGACCCCACTGCTGCCGGGGGCTCAGGAGCAGGGGCCTCTGGACCAAACCTCAGCCCCCTCCTGGCCCCCTCTGCCAACCACCAGGATGGCAGGCCTCCCGGGCCCCTGACCTGGTCAGTGAGTTTCCTGGTGCAAAGAGCCCAGTGCGGGCCTAGATGTCAGGATGCGGAAGGTGTAGCTGAAATGAGGGTGAGCAGCTGAGAGAGCCAGAGCCAGAGGCAGCCCCAGGTGTCCCACAGCTCTGGGCACTTTTCTCTACCTTGAAAACAAGGTGGCACAAGGGCAGCTGCCGCAGCATGGACAAAGCAAAGGTCTCTGCCACAAAGTGGGCTCCAAGCAGTGAGTGACCTTCTCGTGCACCAGGAACTCTGGGTGTTGCACCCAGGTCTTGGCCGGGAGCCAGTCCTCAGCTGGGTCACTGGGCAGGAAGATGGGTCTGTCTGAGCCAGGTGTCTGAATGAGCTGGTGTTGGGGACCCAGGGAAGGGCAGGCATCAGGCAGAAACTGGGGAAGAGCAGCCCATCACCACTTCCATGGGGCCAAATCACACATCAACTTCTTTACTAGCTGTGTGACCGTGGGAAAGTTGATTAACCTCTCTGTGACTCAGGTTCCTCAACAGTAAAATGAAGTTGACAGTAATCTCTCTGAGAGGTGAAGTGACCCAAGGCCACCTTGTTGGCATAGCTGGTACCAGCCAGTCATCCAGGGCTCCATTTGTTGCAGAGATTGGAAGGATGGAGAGGGCGGGGGACACCCCCCAGAAGGGGTTAAGACTTTAACTGTTGGAAACATGATCAAACTGACAAAGGTACATGATTCAGTAGAGTCAGTTTTGTCCCCAGTGTCAAGATGCAATTTGTCTTCTGACACTGACTATCAGGATCTTTCTATCAAGCTGGAAATCAAAGAGGACAAAGAGGAAAAAGGAGGAAAAACAACAAACTCAGGAGGGGCCAGGCTAAAATTAGAGGTGTGATCTCTAGCCCTGGGCACAGTGGCCCTGGGGAAAGACAACCTCTCAGTCACCCTGAGGACATGGATACGCTCCCCTACCCCACCCATCAGCCCCAGGGCCCTGCCTTGTTCACCCTATGACAAGGGGTAGGAGGGGCCACTGCTGGGGCGCTGGGGCTGTAGGGTCAGGGTGCAGCCGGGGCCTTCCATTGATGACACTGGGGCAGAGGCCTGAGAGGATGATGGCCCACCAGGTGCAGAGAGCCCCTCCATGGGGGGAGAGGGGAGGAGGAAGGCTTAGGGAGTGAGCCACCCTGTGCAGTTCTGGAAAGCGTGGGGGAGGGAGGACTTACCCTGGATCTGAAAGTATTTCACTTAGAGGAACCTCATTTTCTGGAGCCAGTGGGGCATTTCAGCTCAGAGCCACCTTCTGGTTCCAAAGAAAGAGACCTCCCCCACCACATCCTCACCCAGGTATTGAAGGTGCCTCTGCTGTGGCCAGACCCAAGCGTCAGTGACAGGCAGTGAGAGAAGTGAGCCCTGCTGGGGCTCAGTGCCTTGCAATGCAGAAGGCACTTTTCTGGGGTTGGGGAACGTCTCCTCCCAAAGGCCCAGAAAGAGAAGAGTGGCAGCTCTGGGGACCACTCAGCGGACCAGCTGCAGGGCATCCTTAGTAACCATGACAACAACTCATCACCATGGTTTCTGAGCTGGGGGGCCCTGCCAGTGCACAGAGCCTAGCAAGTACCAGGATAGCTCAGTCCCCACTCAGCCCTGCGCCCTCAGCCCTCTCAGAGCCACGCACCTCCCTCCAGGGATGGGGATGAGCAGGAGTCTCTGACCCAGGGCATGGCTGAGCAAGCTGAGGATGAGGAGCTCGACAGAGGAGTGTGAGGGGAAGAAGGACAGCCAGGGCTGGGTGGGAAAGACAGGGGGCCTGCAGGCTGGGGGCCTGGGGCACTGGGCATGTGGGTTCCTGTGGGCACCAGAGGGCAGAGAAGGGAGGCTGGATCTCTGGGCCCCTCACCTTCCAGCTCAGCCTGTAGACTGGTCCCAGTGACCGGGGAAGCTCTTTGCTAGGTAGCGACAGCGGCAGATCAGGATGGGGTTGAGGCCATTCAGGAACTGGGAGCTGAAGAAGGCTTCTTTGCTAATGTTCAAACACATACTCCGCAGAGGTGGGTATGGGGAGGGTCACCCTGGTCCCCTGCCTCCAGCACTGCCACCACTCTCAGACCCACCTCCAACTTCCCAGCATGGTCACTTCCTGATGATAGTGGGTGGGCTGGGCTCCCTCCTCCTTCCTCTGATTAGCTGGAAGACTTTATTTTCTGAGTGGTCTTCAGAAAACAAGGGATTGGAGGTTTGGGTTCTGCCCGAGGAGTCCTGTGAACCACACATTTTGGGGGAGGCCCAATGTACCCTGTGGAGGACGCCAAGACCACACCTAGGATGAGAACAGAGTGAGAGAAAAATCAGAAGACTGAAGAACGCTGGCTCCCAGCACAGCCTGTCCTGGCCTGGCCACTCCAATTCTCTGTCAAACTCACTGGTTCCATGTCCCATTCTGCTGCTACTTTGCCAAAAGACAGTCTGGATAATTTGTTAAACTAGAGTAATCATTCAAAAAGAGTTTGCACCACTTTGGGGCATGAGCTGGTGCTTAGGTTTTTGAACCAAGGGTTCAACATGTGTAGTTTGAACCCAAGGTGCGCGCAGAGGGCCGAGGGGACCGGAGAGTGGGCATTCCTCAGTCCGCCGGCTAGGTTGGCTTTCAAGTCTAAGTGCCTCGGCTCCAACCAAGAAGGCACGATTTTGAAAGGAAAAAAGTCTTTCTGCTTCAGATGTTTCTTGCTAATTTGCTGAGGATATTCATGGGACAGGTGTTTTCAGTGTTGGGGACAGTTTGAAGCAGTGGGTATGGGGCTGGGGGAGGGGAATGGCCAGCACACAGACCCAGGGCCCTGACCTGGGAGCAGCTGTAGGAGCGTGGCTTGCTATAGGACAGAGGTCACAGGAGCATTGGTGCTGGAAGTGCTCAGGACCCCAGCTTGCCTTGACAAAGAATTGGAGTTATTAGAACTTACTTTCTGGCCCCTTTCCCAAAGTCCTGATAGGTAAGAGAAGCTGGGTGAACAGTGGGCCCCATGAGGAGGACATTTAGGGGGGAATATCCTCCTAGGGTTCCGCAGCCTCACCACCTTTTTCCTACACAGTGGCCACCCCTGCCAGCCCCACTAGGTGACAAGAAGTGTGCCTTCTCAGGACAGAAATGAGGAGGGAAATGGCAGTGGTGCAGTCCTGTGATTTCCAGAACATTCCAACTCCGCTTTCTGGTTCTCAGTCCCATAAGGTGACCACTGAAGACCCTCTGGCCCTGCCACAGCCTCCTCACCCCTCTGCCCTCACACCGCCAGACCTGACACTCATGAGTTGGGGAAGACGAAGGTGTGCTGGATCTCCTCCAGGGCATCTGACTGTCCAGCAGTCCCTGTGGTGTCAGAGCCGTGTTCCCGCAGAAGGAAAGACAGAGGGTGTGGCTGGGGAGGGAACCCTGGCACAGAGAGGGAGAGGTGTGTGTGGGGGTGTCCAGCAGGATCCCAGGGAGGTGAGATGGAATTTCTGGTTGACTTCTTTTATTTATTTATTTATTTTTGAGACAGCGTCTCACACTGTTGCCCAGGCTAGAGTGAGTGCCGTGGCGTCAGCCTAGCTCACAGCAACCTCAAACTCCTCAGCCTCCCGAGTAGCTGGGACTACAGGCACGTGCCACCATGCCCGGCTAATTTTTTCTATATATATTAGTTGGCCAATTAATTTATTTCTATTTATAGTAGATACGGGTCTTGCTCTTGCTCAGGTTGGTCTCGAACTCCTGAGCTCAAACGATCTGCCCGCCTTGGCCTCCCAGAGAGCTAGGATTACAGGTGTGAGCCACCACGCCCGGCCTCTGGTTGACTTCTTTGGTGACCGAGTAGGGCAAGTCAGGATCAAGCTCCCTGCCATGTTCGGCATCCAGGCAGGGGGTATCCCTGGGAAACACTCCCTCCACCTGGACAAGGGCAGCCATGGAGATGAGCCTGAGTCACTGCAGGCTGGGCCCCACCCTTCTGGGACTGGAAAGGGTACAGAGGTTGTGGGTCCCCAGGCCTGATGGTACAGAGTGCTGTGGGACAGGGAGCTCACAAGAGGGTGTGTGCCAGGACTCAGGTGTGCTGTTCTTGGTCAGATCCGAGGCTCAACTGACTTCAGAAGGCAGGAGCAAGGGAGGCCCTTCGTCTACAGAAAGCTGTGCGGGTGCATGCCAGAGGTGGGCACTCCTGGGATCACAGCCCCAAGTCCCCTGAGCTGCTCCCCGGTATTTCTGCTGCCTCTGCTTAATCTCTGCGTGGTGCTGGGCATGGAGCAGAGGCTCCGCCCCCAGAGGCTCTACCCCCTTCGTCCTTCCCCACTATGACCCCCGACCCACAAGCACATCAGCCTCCCTCACCCCCTCCGTGCCAGCCAGCAGCCCCTCACCTGCCCCCTCCCGCAGCACCAGGCTGCCCGCCCCCTCCAGCCACTGGTAGCAGGGGAAGCGGAGCGGGGCGCCCCGCGGCGGCGAGAGCCGGAACCAGCGGCAGAGCCAGGCGTCCGGGGCCAGCGGCCCGAGCGAGCGGGGCAGCGCCGGGGCGCCTTGTGCACGCGCAGCAGCAGCACCGGGCCCACGTCCTGGGCGAGCGTCACCTCGAAGTCCTCCTCCTGGAGGCAGGGGGCAGTGGGAGAAGGCTCATGGTGGGGGTGAGGGGGCCGCAAGGAGGGGCCCGGCGGGCGGCGCGGGCACTCACCACGCCCAGGCTGAAGTTCTTCCCGAAGTTGTCCAGCTGCAGGTCCCACGAGGCTCACTGACACGTTGTCCCAGGTTCCCGAGCCCAGGAAGGCGCTGGTGGCCGCGCGCACCGGGCTCTCGCCCGTGGCCTTCGGTCGAGAGGGACCGGCAGTGCCGCAGAAGCCCAGGCAGGGGCTGGCTGGCTGGCCTTTGGGCTCAGCTGCGAGGGGGACTGGCAGTCGCTGGGACGGCGGCGGGAGGTGCTGAGACCAGGGTGCGCCGGCCCGGGAGCCCTCGGGAGGAGGGGTGCCGCCACCCAGCGGCGCCCAGAGGGCGGAGCGCAGGGCGCCGGGAGAGGTTTCGACCCGCTCCGCAGCCCTCGCCTCCACCGCAGTCGAACGTTAGCTCCTTTGGCCGTAGGCTTTGCGGTCCGTGCTTGCCTCCGTCTCTCCGGATCTCAGGGCTCTGGGTCTCCTTTGGGCTCTGGGAAACACCCTGTCCCCTCCTCCAGAGGGCTCGGGTTGACTCCCCACGAAGAGCACCGGGCGCCTCCTCTGCGTCTCCACCTGTCCACTCCCTGCCCTGGGGGGCTTGTCCTGCGAATCAGTTGGAGTAGCGGACGCTGAGTCACCCTGTGTCCTCCCACTGCCAGCATGCCCTTCTCCATTTCTGCGTCTCCTGTCTCTGTCCCAGGCCAGCGTTTTCTGAGGTCGGTGGGGGTGAGGGTGGGGGTGGGGGTGGGGGTGGGGGAGTCTGCTTCCCATCCTCCAAGGGTAGTGAGCAAAGGCATCTGGGAAGTCCGCATAGATGGGAAGGGGGTGGACACAAAGATCCGGAGGCTGGAAGAGGACCCAGCACTGAGGAGAGAAGAGACTGGGGCTCTAGGCACCAGTCTGGGTTGGCATGTGGCCCCCTCCCTTCAGCTTGTCAAAGTATAACTTTCAAAATAATTAAAAACACACTCTGGGAGGCCGAGGTGGGAGGATTGCTCGGAGGTCAGGAGTTCGAAACCAGCCTGAGCAAGAGGGAGACCCCGTCTCTACTATAAATAGAAAGAAATTAATTGGCCAACTAATATACATATAGAAAAAATTAGCCGGGCATGGTGGCGCATGCCTGTAGTCCCAGTTGCTTGGGAGGCTGAGGCAGGAGAATCGCTTGAGCCCAGGAGTTTGAGGTTGCTGTGAGCTAGGATGACGCCATGGCACTCTAGCCTGGGCAACAAAGGAGACTCTGTCTCAAAAACAAAAACAAACAAAAAAAAAGGTAAAAAAAAAAAAAACCCAACAAAATAATTAAAAACATGACTCTTAAAAATTAGAATGAACAAAAGTCAAAGATTTTATTCAATTCAGTAGGATAGTGATGTTGATTCCAAGAACAATTGAGAAGCTGAGTCTTTATAAAGGCAATTTAATACAGGAATGCTAGGATATGATTACGGAGTTAGATATGAAACTAGTCAGTGTGCTACAGGGCAATAAACTACAATCTCTGGGGTTATCTTTTCTAGTGAACAGAAATAATTTGCATTGCTCTTAAATTTTGATTGAGACTTCCGAAGAGTTTTCCTCCAAAGCTACACGGTCACATTGTTATACCAGCACCCAGGTGCTTCGGACCCTTGGCAACTCTGAATACACTTCCCTAATGACTAGGAAGGTTAAAAATCTTTTCACCTGTTTATTACACATTTAGGTTTATTTTATGAACTGCCTTTTGTGAATTTCCTATTATATTGTTTGCCCCTTTCCTGCTGTGTTATTTATTTGTAGAAGCTCTTTGTATATATTGGATGTTTATCATTTATTGCAAATAGTCTCTCCTGTTGGTTGTTTGCCTTTAATTTTTGTGTCTGGAAACCTTGGAGACCTTTTACACTGTCTCATCAAACCTTTAGCAGCAGGAGTTCATTGTCCCTGTTCTGTGCTGTCTTAGAATCTTACATCTCTGTTGCTATTCCTTTTTTTTTGAGCTGTGGTCTTGCTCTGTCACCTAAGATAGAGTGGTGTCATCAACTCCAGAGCAGCCAGGACTTACAGGCACATGCCACCATGCCCAGCTAATTTTAAAATATTTTTTAGAGATGGTGTCTCAATACGTTGCCCAGGCTGGTCTCAAACTCCTGGCCTCAAGCAATCCTCCTGCGTCAGCCTCCCAAAAGTGCTGGGATTACACACGTGAGCCACCGCCTGGCCAGTTTCTATTGCTTTTGCTACTACATATCCACACCCTTTTCCTCCTCCACCCAGTCCTGGAATATTGGGCAGGGAGTAAGCTGGCTCCTGCCCCACTTTTAGGTCTTTCCACTCTCTCCTTCTCTCTTCCTTTTCCTTGATCCCTTCATTTCCCAACTGCAAGATCTGGGATAGTAGAGGTGGGATCAGAGACAGTGAAGAGGGAGCTGGTCTTCCCCCTCTGGCTGGCCGATCCAACTAGGGCAGGGGTCTGTACAGCATGACTTTGGGGCCTGGATGCCCAATGCCTCACTGTCCATGAAGAAGTCCCCACCCTAGTGCAAGGGGACCACCAACTAAGAAAGTTAACTGGACATCTCCTAGAGGTGAATGTTACCTGCAACAACTTTCTCTTCTCATGGCTGGTCAGCCAAGAGCCAAGGACTAGAATTCGTGTGTGTGTGTGTGTGTGTGTGTGTGTGTGAGAGAGAGAGAGAGAGAGAGAGAGAGAGAGAGAGAGAGAGAGGTGGGCAGGGAGCTCAGAGGGCTCACAAGCTCATGGAGCCTGGGCAGTGGAGGTAGATAGATGATTTGCAAGGGTGCTTAGAGACTGATTGCTGGGAATTTCATTGCTGAGCTGCCTGAGAATCTCCAGTTTCTCCAGGAGATGATAGTTGATCCCAAAGGACATCCATTGAAACCAACACCAGTTTATTGACTGGGGCACAACTGCCCTCCAACTCACTAGTTCATCCACGCCTGCATGCATGTGTCCACCCATCCATCCAATCATTCTTCCCATCACCCAACATTCAGCAAACACTCGTTGGGTCTCTCTCATGCATCAGTGCAGTGCTGGGTGCCAGGCAGATCAAGTTGAATGGGACCCAGCTCCTGCCTTCAAGAAGCTCGTGGTCTAGTTGGGTATACATAGGTAAATGAAAAAGGGCACCACAGGGTTTTATGAATTATCTGTGTATGAATTCCTCCATTCAACACAAACTTACCAAGCACCTGCATTGTACCAGGCACTGTGGCGGGCAGCCATGACCCTGTCCTCTTGAGCTTACAGTCCAGTGATAGAAATCAGGATGGGGCTCATGTCATCCGGAACATGCCTCCAAGGTGCCTCATCTTGGAAGGGACATATATCACTCCTCTCACAGGCCTTTGGCTAGAATTAGTCACATGGCTGGGAAATGCTAAGAAGTACACAAGGTATTTGGAGAGCGCAGACTGCCCTATAGCAACTGGTGGTTTCTGCCACTCCAAGTCAAACAGACTCTCCCTCTTGGAATTTGAACATGGAAGCAAATCATTAAAAAAAAAAAAATGGTAGGAGCTTTATTATTCTCATGGCAGTGCCTGGGGACAGTCCATTGGTTCTTGTGCCCCAGTTACCTGGAGCTTCCTGGGTTTTTTATCTTTCCTGAGACTGCATGGGTTAACTCTTTAATTCCTCCAGGCACTCAGTTTCTTTTCCAAACACTCCTTTATTGCTTAAGTTAGTGGGAATTGTTTTCTATTGATTGAAACCAAAGAAGTTTAACACATACACATGTCTAAACCACTCTTGGTACACTGAATCTCAGTGAGGAACGAGCAGTTCAAGTGCTGCCTGCAAGGCAAGCCTGCCCTTTCTGAAATACTGTCCCATCTATTTCCATGGTTGTGTTTGTGCAGTGATAGTATCAGTATTACATTTTGTCCACATTGTTTTATAAAAATTAGTTAAACTGAAAAACCAAAGCACTCAGATCTGCAATATGAGACAGAGATGGAAATCATTAGGTAAATTTGAAAAGACACATTTTTTAACTTTAATCCATTCTCACCGAATCTGAATGAGAAAAAATGAAAAACAGAAATAAAGAATGTGTATGAAATATTGGAATTCCATCACTGAAGGTGAAGTCTAGCAGGCAAGGTATGATTAATGATGTGATAATATTTTCTTTTTTTCCTCTTGAGACACAGTCTCATTCTGTCGCCCTGAGTAGAGTGCAGTGGCGTCAGCCTAGCTCACAGCAACTTCAAACTCCTGGGCTCAAGTGATCCTCCTGCCTCAGCCTCCCGAGTAGCTGGGATACAGGCGCGTGCCACTGCACCTGGCTAATTTTTCTATTTTTAGTAGAGATGGGGTCTTACTCTTGTTCAGGCTGGTCTGGAATTCCTGACCTCGAGCGATCCTCCTGCCTCTATCTCCCAGACTGCTGGGATTACAGGTGTGAGGCATCATGCCTGGCTGTGATAATATTTTCTAACTCTCCGGAAATGGAACCTGCTTTATAATATACAAGTATATTTTGTTTATTATACTTTGAGGGAAGCGTTTAAGAAAGCATATGTGGGCATTGCTGGCTGGCACTGACCCAGGAAGTAGGTCTCCCTCCTTCTGCCTGGTTTCAGAGACCCATTTTCAGCATTTTCTTCATTTTAAAGGTGGGACAGTAGGTCATGATCAACCTCTTGGTCAGGTTTTAGGCCTTGGTCACTTTTTAGGCCTTCTTGGTGGCTGCCCTTGAGTTAGGAGACCGTGAGGCCCAATCAGCGGTGGCCGTGGCCGGGCGCACAGCAGAATTGTGGCTTGTGGCCCCCCCCCCATGGTAATGGAACAAAAACCAAGACCAACTAGCAAAACTCTTAAGGGAGGCTGTGCAGGCACTTTGAGGCTTGGAGTCTCCAAAAGGCTTGGTGGTACTGTCCTGAGATTCTGTTCTCAGTGGGTTTGTTGTTTTTCTGTTTTAGTTTTGTGTGTGAGGGGGTGAGGTACATGGGCCTGGTTGTCCCAGGAGAGGCACATGGAGGCCTGTTTTCCTGGGGAGTCCTTTTCTCTGGGTGCTGGTTAGCGCAGAGCGATGTGGTCAAGGGATGTCTGTCACATGGGCTGTGCTCTCCCGGGATTTAGATGGAGACGCTGTTCTCGATGAGGGGAGGGTCCAGGTAGGTGTAGGGCAGCGCCAGGCCCCGGTTCCGCTCCTGGATGCCCCTCGAGATCTGGGCCAGGCGGCTCTGGAAGGCGGCGATGCTCCGCCGCGGGGCCTCCTCCGTGAAGTGCTCGTCTGGGTAGGTGCCCAGGGGCCTCTGGGGACCAACCACAAAGCTGGGTGAGGGGCCCCCTGAGGTCTCACATGCCAGATTCCTTGTCCCCATCCTCTGAGCAGCTATGACTTACCTTAGCCGGCTCTAGCCCCAGCCCCTTCCCTGGGGGACCTGAAGCAGCCCCCACTGGGCCTGATTCCTGCCCCTCCCCTTAAACAGGTCCTCTCCAAGTGATCGTCTGCAGGAAGCTCTTGGGGAATAAAAGCTCAATTCAGAGTTTCAAAGGAGCACAGTCACACATTGCCTTTGTAGCTAAAGGGGACTCTGCATCATCTCGTTTGGCCATTTGACCCTCACTGTGACATGTCCAAGGCTCATGTGTGCCATTAGAAGGTCCACCCGGGTACTGATAGCAGGGGCAGGTCTGGGCCAGGAGCGTAAACAACACACCCTCACTTATCCCAACTGGCCTGTC